TTCAGCGAATATGATACGCGTTTTTTACTAGAACACTTTTCAAACGAATTCCAACAATCAAGGAAGAGAAAATCCTATCAGCAAAACGACTCACAACCCTGTACAAAGATAAAAGTGGAACAGATATTATCTCGAATCAGGAAAGATATCGCCGAGTAAGATGCAATTTCTCGTTTTACTAATCATTGCTTTTCTTATTATTCTCTCATACTAGTTGTCTTCATCTGTCCTTATGAGCTCCTGTAACTCTCCTTTTTTGTTTCATGGTGGTGTAGGAATGACATAGAAAAATAACTCTCAGAGTCGAAGGTGAATGTTGTGTTAACAGCTGAGCTTGTCTGAAAGTGTTTTTGCATGATCATCCATTTTATTTGTTTTCTGTCTCTTTATCAAAAATCGTAATCTAGTGTTTGCGGAAATTCTATCTTCACAAATAGATAATTTGCCAATTTGATATATAGAACGTAAGTAGTTGTAGTCTGCTAAATTATTTAATATGTATAAAAACATCTCACTGCAAAAGGTGATTGCAGCAAGTTCGAGTTGTCTTCGCCATCTCGCTTCTGCTCTTATTCGATCTCATTTGAACGGGACCCAATTTTCATAGCTGGTCGGTACTGCAAATATTCTCGTACCCTACCACAGTCGCCGTGGTCTTCCGAGGACAAAGCAGCGCCAAAACTTCCTGGACATTCGGTGTGTATTAGTGAGAATTTTGTTCTCCAGTACGAGTTCACTTTTAAGGTTTCTGAAAAAGTATGTGAGCCCTTGAAGAAAAGATTCGCTGCATCCGATGCTCGCTTTGTGGCGTCTGGAAGAGAAGATCTAGATGTGCGAATGTTAGGCCGGGGCCGTCCTTTCACTGTCGAGCTACGTAACTGCCATCTTACGTCTTCTCTGTCAGGGTGAATTTTAGAGATTGCGCTTTTATTTTTCTAAAATTGCGGTTTTCAGAACAGACTACGTAGGAACCTTGCAGAATGTCGAAATAGAAATCAACAACATGCATCCCGATATAGAAGTGAAATACCTTACCAGAATCTCAAGAGAAGAGGCCGAGCTCATTAGCTTAGGCGAAGAAGGTAAAATTAAATATTAGAACGATTTGTCAGAAAGGTCTTTGGCCCGTTGAGAACCGTCACTGAACACTTGATGCTTTCCCTCCTAATTTAGCTTTCTAACTGAATGGTGCCTTAGAAACATGTGCATAAGGTTAAGACACCTTGAATACCAATCTGCATTCTGCGAAAAATTATTGTGGAGTAAGCGCGATACTTTGTGATGTTCTCAAAAAAACTTCCGCAATGGGATTATTTGTTATGTTGGCTTGTCTGAGTGCATTTGTTTTGCAGAAACCTTACGGTAATGCGATATTGCAACAGTGAGGTCTACAGTGAAATGCACGAAATGCATAAAGATGTCTTTTAGTCCAGTGCATGTAATCTTAACATGGCGAATTACTCTGTGTGCAAAGCGTCAACAAAATTATATGTTTCGCAATCTTTATACTAAATAACGTAAATTTGGATTCATCATTAGTGGTTGAAGGAACGAGTCATATGGAGTAATTTGAATGGGTTCAAAATCGCCTTAAACGAAGGGTATAAGTATCAGAGCATTGCCTGAAGTTTTTGGATTTTGAATGCACACAAGAAAACTCAGAAAATTGATATTTTCAGAGCTTTGTGTGCGATAGATTCATGGATGTTGTGTATACAAAGCTTGGCTAAATTGATGTAACTCGATTTTCGAGATAGTTTAATTATAGAAGGGTGAACCCACGTTTGTTTATCGTGAAACTGTGAAACCGTAATTCGATAGCATAAAGCCAAGAGGTTCCGTGTGTAATGTTACTGAAATTACATTTTACACCTGTAATTACGCCAGACATCTAATAATCTAAATCTAGTAGAGTAGTAATAATCTTTTTGTAAATATTCGTGTTCAAGCCTGCGACCAATCTTGGAATATCATATACACCTTTTTTCCATAGTTTCTTTTGGCTAGGGTCAATCTCCAAAGATGCTTACGACTTTTTTTGGCGATTTTCATAAAATTTTGTCACAATACAAAGAAATACATTATGGAAATTATTTGTACGGCAGAGTTATCTGTAACTCTTTGGCAGCTTTTGTCTCACGAACGGCAGAATGTGAATTTATTCTTTATTTTTGAGTGTTTGCGCGAAACTAAGGTTCTATCCTCTGCAGCACATCATCTGTTTCAGCCATTTTATAACGAATTTACGTTAGAGTTCCCCTATCTAAAAGAGTTAAAGAGTAAGCGTATATCCTGTTAAAACAGCCACAGTTTCTGGTCTTAGTTCACATTTAGAACAATCAAGGACTCGACTTTCCCTCTGACATACGCAACTGCTCAGTTTGAGAAGCGAATCTTTAAACCGGGAGAATGTAGTCCTCAGCTTCTGTGCAATCACAAAAAAATTTTTTCATGAAGGTGATACCTCGAGTTTCCTCGGTTAATTCCTTTTGAAGCAGTTTATGTTATCCTGCTGTGAAGTTTAGCTACCGTCTTTCTTGCCACCTCTTTACTCTCTCCAATACTTTGCGTTAATTAGAAATATTCTAGGCATCCAGACAAATTTTCTGTTTAATGTTCTCCAGATATCTCAAATAGGACAACACTCAAAATCTGCTCCATCATTTTGCACAACTTCAAACCCTCTAGATATTGGAAAGGACTGCAGAAAACCTAGTGTGGCTCAACCTTTTCAAAAATCATTTCTTTGCGGGTTGCGGCGAAGCTTTGACTAATATGAAGAAAAATTT